AATTATTGTCTTTTGCATTAAAACCTAACAATCAATTTAACAAGTCTTAAATCATCATTAAATCATATAGCGAACTAGGCGTGAAGTCCTTTGGGAAAACGATTACTGGGTCTTACCTACGTTTTATTAACTTGATATTCGTTCGGTCACCCTTGCCGGAGTTAAACAAGTTGTGTCGACGTTTTTGGGTTGCCTGTTCATAAAGGTGTCATAAATGTTATTGGCGCCGGGTCCGGGGGACTTAGTGGTTTAACTAGTTCTTTGTGTGATTGTTGTGATTATCTTGACTTTGTTTTGAATTTTGAAATTTGAATTCTGTTTTGTTATGTTTTTCTGCTTTGTATTTTTATTTATTTTATTTTTATTGTTATTTGTTATTGTTTGTTTTTTATTTTTGCCTGTTTCTGGTTTGTTATTTTTCTGTTTTTATTTTTCTGTTGTTTCTTTTTTTCGTGGTTTTTATTTTTTTTCCCTGTTGTTTCTTTTGTTTATCCTTCTATCTTTCGATCTTTATGTCTCTTATCTATTATTCTAATTCTTCTCTATCTGTTTGTGCTAACAAAGTTTTTTTCTCAGGGACTTGTTTTTCTTGTGTATGCAAGAATAGCAAATTGTCGACGACTAGAATCAAAGAAAACGTCGGAACCTCTTCTGATGGCTTAGCGAGAAGACGGAAGGAGAAGAATACGTACAATCTAGAGGAACTTTTCCCTCCTTGAAGATTCTTTTTACAAACCTCACCACAAGGACTTTGGGGTTCTCACCATAGCATTGAGGACGATGGATAATAAAATGTTAGATGGGACTCTTGCAGATTACACCCAATGTGGTTGGCCCCCTCAACTTATTTAACAGCATTACAAAGACTTTCCGAGGGGTCTATTTGCAAGCCAACATGGAGTTGAAACCCGGGCGTTGATCTAACTGGTTAAGCGTAATCAATTTAATTGGGTTTGTCTCATGAAAAAGCCCCTGTATGAGCACCCACATACTCTTTAATTGAAATTTGCATACAGTGAAGAGATTTAAATGGGGCTGTCTGACTGAAAGCAATCAACCTCTGTTTTATTCCTAGTTTTCCATTTCTCATTAGGATTTTTTCGTCCGGAACACGAATGTCGCTTTGGTTGAAACTCTTTTCTTAGAAGGGAGCTTTACAAAGTGGAAGCTGTTCGGTGGCAAAGTTCTTGAACAAATACTTCCCACAATCCAAGGTAAACAAACACTAGTAGAAAAATGACATTTTATAACGTACAAAAATGATATATTATAACGTAGTTACTAGGGACATAGTTCTGGGCGTTATAATAAGTCTACGCATTTTATAACGTAGCAGAAATTTACGTTATAATAGCTTGAACATATTATAACGTAGTTTCTGAAATCAGTTATAATATGACAAAGATATTATAACGTAGATGTGTTAATACGTTATAATATGTGATGTATTATAACGTAGATATGATTTTCAGAATCAACGTATTATGACGTACATTGTTTAGTACGTCATAATATATGTTTTTTTATAAAAAAAAATAATTATTACAATTAACCTCCTATAAAATTATAATCATATTCCTTTCATCTATAAGTTAGAAGCTAATTCAAAATGAGGTAAGATACATTAGAAAAAATATATAATAAAATGTGAATACAGCGGAAGAATGTTCTAGTTTTTCTAGACAAAATTCAGATTTAATTCTCATTTTCAATTATTCCTGTGTATTAATTGACGAACAATTGATAGTTTTATACTGTTGAGGGCACAAAATGTGTGGCTAAACCACATGCTGCTACTTCTGCTCCATCCAAACGTGCTCCACTCAACCCTATATATTCCCCTGCATATTGCAAATTAATATCAATACAAAAAAGAGAAAAACATAAACATGAAGAGAAAAGGGGAGTATTATTCTTAGGTTTTGCTAACAACCACCTCACGGGCACTACTATATTAAATAATAGGAAGTTTTTAAACTCCTAACTTTCAATTGCTTAACCAGCGTGCTAAGAATACTTATTAACATTCTCTTTGCTCTTTATTTTTTTTTTTCAAGAAGCTGAAATAAAAGTTCTTATCTATTGACAAACTTCTGGATTAGACCAATAAATATAAATAAAAAATTAATGTTAACCTATAAACCAATATTCACTATATATTCTAATCTCTGCATATGTTATATATATATATATATATATATAATATATATTATAAAAAGAAATTGTGATGTTCACCATATGCTTAAAATTCCTCAAACTCATGGTATAACACTTTAATGGAGTGATGTCTAATATTTAGTTTAATGAAGCTCAACCTAATAAGAGTAATTTGCTGACTCTTAAGAAGACCCAATATATTATCAAGTTCAGAGTTAAACAACTATTAATCAACAGTTCCAATAAAAAATAACAAGTAGCTCAGAACTCACTGTCTCTAAATAGGTTTTTTAAATGTTATAAATAATGGGATAGGGACATACCACTAAACAGTTTAAAAGACGTGGGAAGGGTTCTTCGTTGAGTGGTCAATGCTAAATCAGATTTCTTTGATAAGTAAAGGGCATGATCAATAATGATGGGCCTTGCTCTTTGATTCCTGCATAGAATAAGTAATATAAGTCAGGGGAGAAAAACATGCAGAATATAGTCTACAAAAAATTTTCAGATGCATAATAATCAAATTCACTTACAATTTCCAACCAGCAATGTGTGTATGCTCAATGAAATTTAGATTCCTTGACAGATTCGAGAAAACATAAAGCAAATCTGCAAAAGCAGAAAACAAATATCAAATGGGTTCAGGGAGTAAACTTTTTGCATGTTTGTCTTGATAAATGCTTAAACTAAAACTATAAACAGCATGGAATGATCTATACGAATCTGGATTTATGCCAAATGATACACTATCAAACAGAAAGAAGATGTTGAAACCAGAAGACTAAAATCATTGAGTACAAAATACCATGAAGCAAATTGTTACGCAGTTATGCAGGTACTATAAGCTTTCCTTCTTGGTAACATAATCTATTTCAACAACTTAAAGAATAGAAGAAAAAAATCAAGCAACCTCAAAGAAAAGTGAGACAAATTATAAGATAATATATTCATATGTACAATAATCATATAAACTATATACCATGAAGCTGCAAATTCAAGTGCACAAGTCTAATTACTATAGTGCATGTGCAAAATCTTAACTACACTGGCCAATTCTTAAGCAATCAACTTTGCAACAAAGGAGTTACAAGTTTTCAGAACAACAAAAAACATTAATTAGCAAATATAAGCTCAATCATTAAATAAGAGGATATCCTAGTACCATAAATGCAACCAAAAATGCACTGCAAGGTGGATGGGAAATTGTTTTCTGCTGCAATTGACCTGCAGAATATAAACATCAATCTTTTAACTGTTTACAACTATTGATAGTACATATAACTTCACAAAAATGCCAACTAATAAGAGTAAATTTCAATGTGCAGATTAGAAAAGCTACCCTTCAAAGTAGACTATAAGCTTAAGCGATTAAAGGAACTCGTGGTCAATAAATTTTTGTGAGTGGAAATTGACAAGCTATATAGACAGCACAACTTGCACAATCTAAAGTTAAATATCCACATGGTTAAGAGAGAGGAAAAAAAAATCAGCACATCTTGTTTCCTTACTAATTCACCACTCAGATTCATGTAAGTCCGAGGAGGCTTTGCAAGGAAGACAAGAACTTCACCAACAAAACCTGCAACAAACCAACTTGCGAAAAAAATTCATCAATACAATAAACATAGAGAGAAAAACAGAAAATAGAAATATCTAAGCAAGGCAGGCGGGCAAACCTTTTCCGAAAATGGCTTTGGAATAGGAAGTGTTCATAGGAATCCCCTACGACTCAGCAAATGCATCAATCATCTCAAAGCCCACCTAGACAAACACTGAGGGAACCGATTTCAATCGGTGAAAAATGAAGGAAAAGGCAAAACAATCGGTCAAAAGGTGAGAAGATGAAAATACGAAGAAACCCTAGCAGTTGAGGGTGAAAGATGCAAGTGAGAGGCTGAGAGGTAAAGGAAAGTGCTTAGGGCTTGAACTGTTGTTCAACGAGATGATGGAGAGCCAATGAGAGCCTTCCATGATGGAGAGGCAGCGAAAGCCTTCGATGATGGAGATGAGAGAAACGCTCTCGTGAGGCTACGCGAATGAGAAATGTGGCGGATGAACGGCGGAACGAGAGTGAATGATTGAGTGAATGACGGATGATGGAGAGGGAAGAAAAGAGGAAGAGAGGAAGAATGGTTCAATGGCAATGGTGTATTACGGTGAACGAAAGTGAGGAAGAGAGGGAGGGAAGAAAAATCGTGGGCGAACAAAATTTTTAACTTTATGACAGGTATTCAAAACTCCGTAATAATAATTTTTGACGTTATTTACAAGTTTGCCACCGCGTTTTATATTATATCTGGTTTTTTTAACTACGTAATAATATGTTTTAAACTTATTTACAAGTTTGCCACCGTATTTCATATTATAACAGATATATAAAACTACGTTATAATATATTTAACTTTTATTACAATTCTGCCACCGATCAACCTATTATAACGGATGATTTTCATCAGTCATAATATATGTCGTTATAATATGTTATTTTTCCACTAGTGCCCTCTCTCCCCTTCCGTGGTCTGTTCGTCATTGCCCTAAGTTGAAGTTGGTCACCCTAAGCTATTGTCGTGTTGCTAACGCGGAGGTGGGCTCGTTGGCGGCTATTACTTTGCGGTTTGTGTGGCTAGGGTTCGTGGCGTTTGAGGTAGGGTGGTGACTCGTGGAAGTTGGCGTTTACGTTAGGGGTGGTGGCGGTCAGTCGATTCAACACTGCGGTTTGACGGTGCACGTTTGGTGGTGTGGACGCTGATGGAGGTTCGTTGCTGAGTGGCGCTCTTTCATTCCCTACTCTCTATTCCAAGCGGTTCGTTGGTTTGAAGCGTGAGGTTGTCGCGCTAAAGCGGTTTGAAGTGGTTGTTGTTGCAGATGCTGACGGCGGTTCGTTGGTGGCTGGTTTGCGGCTAGGGTTCATGTTTTGGTCCTTGTGAGTGTTGTGACAGGGGTAGGCGTTGTTGGGGGTTGGCGTGTCGAGGGCGTTGCAGTGAAGTGGTGTTGACTGATGCGTAGTGCTCAATTGCCACAACAAAAGGCCGTGTTTTGGTCTGATGTGAGATTAGTCTTCAACTTACTGACTAGTTGTACTAATGTAATGTTGTTGTATCCTGTGTTGAGTGCATAATTGCTTGTGGTAGATTGTATTTTAGATTTGGGTTGTATGTGAGGATGTTGGCTGGTGCGTATTTCATCTTGGGTGTGAATGCTTTAGTAGTGAGTAAATGTTATTTGATGAGTGTTGCCTGTATGTGATATTACAAAGTGCCTTTGTACTTGTCGTGGTGCCTCTTTAACCTATTAAGGGTGTTTCTGTTGTGAATCCTTCTTGTTTATTTTAGTGGTTATTTATGGGTTAATAGTTAATGTATTTATGGATTAAAGTTGACTGAAATTAACTAGATGCTATCTTGGGCAGTTTATTTGGAGACTGGTACAATTTTGATTGGTGATTGATGTTTTTTATTTCCTGTTTCTTAGAGATAAGAAATATAAAAGTGAATATGTGTACTATGTTCTACATGTACAATGATGATAGAATGTGGAATGATTGGGTTAAATCGTGTAAAATTGTTGCTTGAGTCATGAAATAGATGTGGTAAGATACTCTATTTTAAATGTGAAAGTGATACATGCCAAGATTTAATCCATGTGTATTGTAATAATGTATTGGTTGTGAAGAGAGCATGGTGTCGTGAGCAATATTGCGTGATTGGAATGTTGTCCTATCACTTTTAAATGCATTAAATCAATTGATGTATGATAATCAAATGATAAATGTTGTAGTATAGGTAAATAAAACTGAGTTTTAGGTAAGTTTGAATAAAGTTGCATGATCGATCTACTATGTCTCTTTATATGTATAGTTAATATAAGTTGGCTATGGATGCTTTGGTTGTGTGTGATCAGTCCGATCATAAATGTTGTGAGTACTATAATATGACATGAATGGTTAATCTTTGGATTTCATATTAGATGCTACACATCAGTTATTGTGACTGCATGAACTCTGTTGCTGAATAGGATAATGTTGACCATGGAATTTGAAGGTTATTTCATTTGGAAGTGGCAATGAATTTGGGCAAGATTAATAACCTATTGAAAATTATTCCAGTTGCTGAATGGTAGATAATAGGTTTAGAGGTATGTTTGAAAATTAGTAACTGGTTGGTGTTAAAAAAAAATTGAATTAGCCTAGATGATGTGAGCCATATGGTGGCATTAATAGGACATTGATAGGGCAGGGATTTTGGTACATTGGAATTAATAAGGGGTGGGACCCTTTGTGTACTTATGATGATATAAGTTTAATGTAATTAATAAAAGGCCTAGGTAAGTACGTAAAGAAATGAGGGTGATGCAATGTCTGGATATAGGGGTTAATGGGGTAGCCTTTGAAAGATACATATCTATGTAGGAGACAATAATAAAATAGTAAGATAACATGATATTGGGGGAAATAATGAACTTTTAACAATCGTGAAACTCTGATGGTGTGATGCAATGCTGATGTTTGTTGTTGAAATTATTTCAACTTTGAAATAGAAATTTGTTTCCAAAATAACTAGTTTGGATGTGGATGGAAATCCTAACTAATTGTTTTTATTGTAAGGAAAAGTTTAAAATTTAAAAAGTGTTACTTTTGGTCGTGATGTGTTAGGTGGTTGTTATTTGTCTTTTCTGTACTATCTATTTTGTTGCACGGTTTGAATGATTCTGTGCGTTGGTTGAGTAATATGAATGCATTAGTTAACATTGTAATTGAGTAAAAGCTGTCATAAACCAGGTGTAACCTGAATGCCTATTTCTCTTAGAGGTTGTTGTCACTAGTACAGAAAGAAAGGGTTTAGACGTCTGTTACTTTGGGCTTTTAACGTCAGATCCCGATCCGACGTCTTTACGAGTGACGTTAATGGGACGTCAGACTCTTATGAAAGACGTCGGATTACACCAAAACTGACGTCTAAAGGCACTATAGACGTCGGACAAGGATTAACCGACGTCTACAGTAGCTCGTATCTTTGGGTAGCGTAGTAGCACCTTCTTCCTTTTGCTAGTTTCCTCATAAGAAAAGCTTGCGTCTTTTGAATCTCTAGTGGCATTTCAATCGAAAACCAAATCTGGGTCCTTGTCCAGTTCCATTCCAACCGCCAATGAAAAAGAATACAGTGACATGAGAACTAGACAAGGACCAGGTTCGATTTTGGGTTGAAATGATATAAGAGATACAAAAAACACAAACTTTTCTTACGAGGAAACTAGCGAAGGGAGAAGGTGCTACTACGCTCCCCAAAGACACGAGAAAAACTACACGAAAACACAACGAAAACTCATTTTAATCGGTTTAAATGGAACATAATCCATCAAAGACTAATTTAATCGAAGTAAAAGTAAATTTAAACGGTTCAAAAGAGATAAAACGCACCTGGAAATGCAACGTCGCGGAGAGAAAAGGCGAGGAGAAAGATGGTGAAGTGTGCGTAACTGCAGGTTCGTGATTTCTGATTTAACAGGAATCAAGACGTTGGTGCCCCCAGTGCCCGACGTCTATTCTCAACTAGACGTCGGGGACCTCACTAATATGACGTCCATTCGATTTAAAAATTAGTATTCGCAATGTATATAAATGTCGGACATCGCGGGATCCGAGTCTAAATGGCGAAAAAAAATGACTTTTCACCTACCTATTATGCATATAGACGTCGGGTATGGGGGACCCCGACGTCTATAATATTATAGACGTCGGGGCCCCTCCTAACCGACGTCTAGATGCCCAACTTATTTACGAAAATGCCATCGGTCAATAATATCCTGGTTCTTTGATTATTGCAATATGTTATGATGGGTGCAATAAGAAGATGAGGGTTTTGATTTATTCTTTTTGCGAATGGTTAATAGTATGATTATCTATGTTGTGTATGAGCTGGAATAATTGAAATACATTCGCTGAAAATGTATGTAATAACATGATTAACATTGGTTTGGTATGTGTTTGAGTTAATTAAGGTTTGTAGGGATTAAGGGATGTTGGAGTAAGATTGTATCTGACTTGGGAACGTATTTAAAGTTGAATAAAACATGTCTCTTTCTTTTGTACAGGTTGAAGCAATTAAGAATATATCAGAGTATGTGGCTCAACTGAGGAGGGTTGGAAAGGGTCACAGTATGTTTTGCTACCATGACTTCTCATATTGGTTGAAAAAATATGCCTTTGATGTTCATTTCCAATAGTATGGTAATTTTCTCCCAATACCTATGACTTCTACTTACATTTATACTTTATGGCTTCCAGGTGTGTGGCACTTTGATGAAAGTCTACTTCATGATGCCGCTTGAACTTGGATAGTCTTTATAGTCTATATTAGTTCTCGTTTACATTTTCTCTTTCATTGTCTTCTCAGCTGTTTTCTTTTTTAGAAGTAGAATTTAAATGTTTTTCCTCTGTATTGAGGTATAAGAACTTGTAGTGTTGTGGCAGCAAGTATATTATGTAAAAGAATATATTATGCAATATCATTTGATATCTCCTTTTCAACTGTCCTTCTCCAGTACAAATATCAGTGGTTAGTTTGACTTGATGCCATGAAAAATTTCATAGTCTAAACTAGTGGAATGAAACTTCTTTTCCCTTCGGTAACTAAAGGGCAAAGGCTGTCGCTAATTCGTCGGTACCGACGACTTGTTGCTGTTTCCGACGGACTCGGGTCGTCGGTAATGCTCTTTTTTGGTACACTACTCAACATCCAGGGAAAAACAAAAGATGGAGTGAATGTTCATTTGGATTTGGTTGACATGAAGATCCGAGAATAGTTGGCACCAAGAGAGATTGCTAAACGTACTTATTGTGCATGTTACACAATGTCTAGACAAGAGAAGATAAGTTTTTGCCTTTGTTTAAAGAGTATGAAGGTACCACAAGGATACTCTTTAAATATCAAGAGCTTAATGTCAATGCAGAGTTAAAGCTTGTTGGACTAAAGTTTCACGATTGCCACATCTTAA